AAGAAAACAGCCCAGCACAGCCAGAGTGTGGCTTGTAGATACAATGACAGAGTGAGAGATGATGGGGCCATGAGGCCAGGGCAGGGCTTTGCCAGCAATGCTGAGCTCACTCTCAAGCATGGAAGATAATCTACAATATTAGAAAGTCAGACAAGGGAAGATGGGCATGTACATATGTATATTCCCTCTCTCTCTCTGTGTGTGTGTGTGTGTGTGTGTGTGTGTGTAAGTGTGTATAAGAGTGTGTGTGAGAGTGTGAGTGTGTATGAGTATGTGTATATGTGTGTATAAGAGTGTGTCTAAGTGTGTCTGAGTGTGTATAAGAGTGTCTTGTGGGAGTGTGTGTGTGTGTGTGTGTGTGTGTGTGTGTGTGTGTGTGTGTGTGTGTGTGTGTGTGTCATTGGCAAAGAGTTCAGTGAGTGCTGGTATGCTCTTGTTCTCCATGAGCTCTCAGTGTCATCCTGGGGCATCAATAGCTCTGAAAAGGGTGTGGTCTGGTGCCTTAGTTCAGTAGAAGACTGAGCCAATAATAGTATGCATGCACTAAAGTATCTTGATTTGATTTGACACTCTTTCTATCCTAATTTGCCCCAAAATATACTCTTTATAAGAACCCCAAGTCTACGATGCATGCTTTGTACTGTTGAATTTCAACGGGCTGAATGTCATGCCACGATGACACAATGGTCACTCCACAGCAGGGAATGGCAGACAGGCCTGTATGTCTGTAGCTTTGGCTTCCAGGGGACAGCAGAACCCATGGGAATACAAGTGAATCTTAAATCCCTGTATAAACAGTCCTATCCTCTCTTTTTTTGTGCAGGCTACAATGAATGGAGGGAGTTCTGTGGCTTGTCACGCCTGGAAACATCAGCTGAAATGAGCAGGGCCATTACCAACAGAAGTGTGGTCAACAAGATAATGGACTTGTACAAGCATGCCGACAACATTGACGTCTGGTTGGGAGGCCTGGCTGAAGACTTCCTACCGGGGGCCCGCACAGGTCCTCTGTTTGCATGCATCATTGGGAAGCAGATGAAAGCCCTGAGGGATGGGGACAGGTAAGTACCCATGGAAAATCTCTCCACATTCTGGGCATAATACAGTGTTTTGCATAAGGATTGAATGGAACAGCTGGATCTGGGCTCCAGTGCTTATGTGGCCCTGGGCAGCTTTTCTCTCAAACATAACATTCCTGACTTTAAAACAATGCTGACACCAAACAAAAGGACCACAAGACATACAGACAATTCTATTCACTTAGAAACATTACTATCATTTCCCCATATGTCCAGTCATGTGAATGAGAAGACAGGTAACAAAATGCAAATTGTGACATCTATAGCTTCCATCTTTGGCCATTCACTGACACTGTTGATACTGGACATGTAGACCTGCCTTGATGTAGATATGGACCCCAGCTGGTACCCAGCTGGTCCGTGGCTAAACAGGCTCGCTCCCACTCCCCACCGTGCCTCCACCTCCAGCCCCACACAGTTGTCGGAGGCTCCTGCCTGCCCTTGCATGTGCTGCTTCCTCCACTTCAGACTAGAATTCTGAGCCCCCTCAGAGGGGGTTAGAGAAGCAGGTGCATTACCTGTACACATCATGAGCTGACACCAGATGGTAATTGGGGAAATGTAAAGTGAAACATTAGAATTATGGAACCATGTAGAAACAAACAAACAAAAAAGGAAGCATATCTTTCTTTTTTTAATAGTCCCCCCATACTAGATTCTTTCTCTCTGCCTGCCTCCATCCATCTATCCCTCTCTCCCTGTAAGACTGCTTTTCAAGAGTGCCTCGGCATTTAGACACAGCCTTGGGCTTCTCTTTTTAGCTTAAATTAAATGTTGTCTTTAATTTCTGGGATACAGCATTTCACAGAGATGAAGACAATTGGAAGAAATCCTGGGGGATTTTTATCTCCCCTGAAACTATGTCTTTAGAAAAATAATGTGGCTTGACACAGTGAGGGAATGAGAAGGCACGAGCTTTGGAGGCAAGTCATTTCTTGGACTCACTTGAGTATGACATGGACTTTGGGTTGGGTCCAAAGGCAAAGGCCAAGAGCCTTTGGCAGATGCTGGGGTGATGCAGTGGTTCTTCACCCTACTGTTTATGACTGAATATCTCCAACACTTCAATCAGCCAACTGATACAGAGGAGACTCCTTCCTGTGCTATCCAAGTTCTTTTGCAGATTTCAGTTGCTTCTCACAATCTAAGGAAATGTGTTCACAAGTAAGAATGGAGATGATCTTTAAATGGTATAGGGCTGTGGGAAATTGGATCTTTGTCCATGATGTGCATATTCTGAGATGAACTAACATTATTTTCTCTCTTTGCTGACCCTGGCCTGGAGTTAAGGACAACACTTGGACCTTGGGCTGAAGGGCACCTCTTCCTGTGGCTGACTTTGTGGTTGTCTCACTTATTTCTGAGGCAGGGGTACACCCATGAAGGCACAGTGTAGCCATTCCTCTGCAAGTTGGTCAGCTCATGCTGCCCTGCAGATGGCCCATCCACAGACAGGCTCATGCCCTTCTTTTCTCCTCCATGTCTACAATGCCTGATTATCACAGGCCCTGAATGCTGTGGTCACCCTCAAACAGGTTTCTGCATGGGATGTGAAGATGGAAGTTTCTGTCCCACCTGGTCCCACGGCTGCTTCAGCCAAATAAACACAGAGAGACTTATAATAATTTATAAACTGTTGGCCGAAGGCTAGGGCTTCTTATTGGTTAGCTCTCTCTGAATTATTAACCCATTTCTATTAATCTATGTATTTCCATGAGGCTGTGGCTGACCCATAATCCAGCATGTTACTCCTTCAGCAGCATGGTATCTGTTCCCAGTGGCCTCTCTCTGCCTCCAGCCTTCTCCTGGTCTGGTATCCCCATCTATCTTTCTGCCTGGCCAATCAGTGTTTTGTTCATCAATAAGAGAATCATATATACCGAAGGACATTCCCTATCAGGAATGTTGAGTGTACGATGGAGCAGCAGTAACACTAGATCCTACTCCCCACTCATGTGCCCTCTCCTGTGCAGGTTTTGGTGGGAGAACAGCCATGTCTTCACAGATGCTCAGAGGCAGGAACTGGAAAAGCATTCACTACCACGGGTCATCTGTGACAACACTGGCCTCACCAGGGTACCTGTGGATGCATTCCATACTGGAAAATTCCCCCAGGACTTTGAGTCTTGTGAAGACATCCCTAGCATGGACCTTGAAGTGTGGAGGGAGACCTTTCCACAAGGTAACTCTGAGCCTCTTGTTATTTTATCACGATACTAAAGTCAGTGTAACCTCTCAAAGAGACTGATTTTAACCCTGTGCTGCTGAGAAAGTACTGGTGAGACTGAGCCTTGCCTTCTCCTGTGGTATGGTAGCACCCCAGTGAGAACTAAGAATTGGACCAGAGGTCTGCAATAGTTGACAGACCTGTACCCCATCCAAGTTCACACACTACTTGGTAGCTGCTGAGCCTTGGCACTGGCAACCCCAGATGCTCCTTCTCTGTCATGGCTCTGTACCCATGAGATTCCAACAGCACTATGGCACTCTGGCCGCCATGGGTGCTTACAGAGTCTTCTGGGATCCTGCTGGGTCAGTCCTCCTGGACGATAAGCAGCAAATGAGGTCTTACTAAGAGTAAGTAGTGATTGATACTTGGCTGTATAGAAAAGATGTATTATTGATCAGGGACCTACAGATTCCTGAGATTTAATTAGCAAAGTAAATGTTCTCACCTTGGCTTTAGTTCTGTACTTAGGATGAACTAAATTATATCTCATAAATTACCACTGACAGAAAACATTCTGTGTGCATTCATGTTTGCATGTATTTGGGCACACATTTGCCACACTTGTATCTGGAGGCCTGAAGTTGACACTAAGTGTCCTCAGTCTCTTTATCTTCCATTATTGAGGCAGGGGCTCCCACTGATTTCTAGAACTGGCTGGTGTTTCTAGCCAGGTTGCTCTAGGAATTCCTTGTCTTTGCCTCCTTTGTGCTGGGATTATGGTGAGAGTGCCATGCCCATTAAGCCTTTATGTGGGTTATGGGCATCTAAATTCTGGTCCTCAGAATTTCACAGCAAAGTGTTTACCATCTGAGACATTTTTTCAACAGCACAAAGTGTTTACTCTTTCATTAACTATATGACATTGGCTCTGTGCCATGTAAGTCTTGGCTTCAAGTAGGAGCTAAAGAATTAGCTACATGGAGGTATTTCTCCAGGGCCTGGGACCCATTTGCCAGAAAAAAACATAGGGATGCATGCTGTAAATGCCCATAGAGACGCACAATTGATGGGAAATACAGTTTTAATTGAAGGATGCAGCTCAACCACAGCAGGGATGGTGGTCTAGAGTCTTTGTTTTCTGTGACTTCACTGAATTTTGACCTTCAACATTCCACAGATGACAAATGTGTCTTCCCAGAGAAGGTGGACAATGGGAACTTTGTGCACTGTGAAGAGTCTGGAAAGCTGGTACTGGTGTATTTCTGTCTCCATGGATACAAGTTGCAAGGCCAGGAACAGATCACATGCACCCAAAATGGATGGGACTCTGAGCCTCCTGTCTGTAAAGGTCAGTGGTGTCACATGGCATGGAGGTTAACAGCAATTACAAATCAATCTCTGTTTCCCCAAAGGAGATCAGATCATTCACCAAAACATTTTTCTGAGCACAGGTGTATCCCTAGAGCTGTTCTGGAACTGCAGGAGTGAAGATACTCCCTCTGATGGTCACACTCCATTGCTTTCTTCAGATGGCAAAACATGGAGCCAATCACTTCGAATCTGAACTTGTGGTGATTTAGGCAAGGAGAGAAGAAAAGGAGCCAGTTAGTTTTAAAAGAGGTTGTGGGAAGAATTGAGAGAGCCCATTCCCCAGTTCTCACTCCAGGCAGCCATAGAAAGACCCAGGCCCATCACCCCTTTTACTCAGCTGTGTTCTTTGTCTCCTCATGCTCAGGTAATCACTTCCCAAGCCTCTCACATCCAGTAATAGGAGAGAAAGAAATGGGTACTTTCAGGCCCTGCTGTAAAGACTCCCCTGGCTTCCACCACCCACTTCTCTCTTATGACTGCAAAGCAGGTATTTCCCCCAAGATGTTTGGGTAGTGTCATGCTCTGGTGGAAGAGCATGAGTCCTGGGTTTTACCTGCAAAGAGACAAGTCTGTGAGAAAGAATAAGGCTGGGCTCTAGTCCCCTGCCAATGAGACTTATTGGTACAATAGTTAGTATCTTCTATTTTATTAAAAATCTTCCTGCTGTAGGTAATTCTTCTGCAAGGGGAAGGGGGCAGTGAGAAAAGACACAGGAGGCCTGCTTTTAGAGAAGATAAGTTACTGGACTCAGTGTCCAGCAGTCACTTGAATAATAGACTCCTGAATGAAAGACAGACTCTGCATACCAAGTGATCTCAGAGCCAGACTTCTATGGCCTACTTGCTGTGGCATACATTTAGCAAAAGTCTGAATGCAGAGGTGATGTCATGAAAGAACTTGGCTGCTTTGCAAGCAGATAAAATCCAAAGGTTTTTGTTGTTGTTGTTGTTGTTGTTTGAGCAGTGGAAAGCACTGTGAACCTGACAGACACCTCTGAGCTTCTCATGCCCAGTGTCTGAGGGTGAGCTTTCATTTATATCTCCTTTGCCACAAGGATAAACATTTCATTGCAACTTTGGAATCCAAAATACTTTGTTGTTCAAGGGTTGCAATGATCTTCATTTTTAAACCCTGCCCAGTAAAGGGGCAGAGGCTAAGTCTCAGCCATAGCCATGGCTGACTTGTGTGTTCTACATACCATGTCAGATAGTCACATTGGGTTCCCTTGGTGCATAACTGCAGCCTGAGAGAGCAGAACAAGGAAGAGAGGAAGCAGAGCTAGGAGAATAGCTGGCAGCAAGTGAGCTGCCCAGGAATCAATAGGTCCAAAGGCCACCACTGTTGGAAGAGATGGAAGCCATTGCCAGAAAACACCCACCTGGGCTAGAAACCTGGATGTAAACCCACAGTCCCATTCTCAGTAGAAAGTGGGCTGTAAAGGCCCAGAGCCGACAGACTCCCCAGTTCTCTTTTGGGTCTAATCATGAGCAACAGTGAGCCAGGGAACAAGGTGAAGGACTTTATCACTGATGACACCATCAGAGATTCTCTGCCAGAAGACAGAATACCCACAGAATGAGTGACAGGAGCCCAGCTATTCTATGAAGTGGCAGCATCTATGTGCATGCGTTGTTTCTGACAACTGCTACTTAGATTACTCGAGCTATCACATTCTGTGGTTAATCTTCACTAACATTATGACAAACTCGGAAGCCTCCATGCTGTTTGCCTTAGCAATCAAACAAACAAAAAACATGCTTACTTCACCAGGGTTACTAGTTCTCCCCAGTGGCAGTGTCTCATTAGGGTGTAAGACTTAGGTTTGACACAGTGGTGTTCTATGGTTGACCAGCCCTGGTATGGTGCACTCTTAGCTTGTATACCTTACTTGGTGTAGTCTAAAATCCTGAACTTCTACATACTCACTCAGGCTATTTGTTTTAGGATTTACAGCTGCAAAGAAAAGCATAGCTAAGGGAAATTCTACACGTCCTCAGACTGCTTGAGCTGATCACTGACTGTACTGAATACGAGCTGACATAACAGTTCACTGGCCTCCTCTCCGCTGAACTCTTGAGAGCAGCATGCCCCTTCTGCTTCCTCTAGACAGCTGTGTGTCATAGAAATCCTTTTTTCTGTCCCCAGTCCACACCCTTCAGCTGTTTTTATCCTGACTTTTCACTTTAGCAGTCAGTTCCTGGCTCCCTAAAGTTCAGGAAGGAAGTTATAGGTACAGTAGTGAGCAGGTACCAAGTGGCCATCGGCTTAATTTCTGAGCTGCCAAGATACTCCTGTCAGTAGGAACATCAAGTGGCCTGTACATGCAACAAGTGAGCTCATAATGTGGACTCTATGACTCCAGGAGAAAAGACATCCTCTTTGCAGGCCAGCAGCATTTCAGGGCCAACAGCTCTGAAATTGAATGGGTGTTGTCCATAAGACACTGCAATACCATGTGTGTTAAGGGTGAGGCACCCACAGAGCAGCATGACCATGTCCTCTTCCCTTGGTACAGTAACTCAGCAGCTTCACACCAGAATAGCGCATTGCTATGCCCCTTGAGGTCCCTCAGCTTACACCTGCCTCCAACCCTTCCAATGTACAGTGAGAATGGTCATGGGATCTAGCTCATCGGCTGCCTATTTAATCAGTGAATGTACAACATTAAGAACAAGGCCTAGTGCCCTTGCAACAGTGAATGTATGCACACCATGAAATACCATGCTGAATATGTTAGAGAGGGTCTGCTAGTACCATAGAACTAAGGCACCTAAGAAACACCACTGACAGAGTGGCATGCTTGATGGGAATCTATCCTGATTTGTCTGGAAGAAATGGGCATGTGTTGCATAGATTAAAGTCTTCACAAGCATGCAAAGAGCATGGCAGGACCGAGACCTCATTAACTGCAGGGATGTCTGTAGAGCATGATGGGAAGAGGGAAGGAAGAGAGACTCCTCATTCTATGATTACAAATCCTAAGTTTTCTGCCTTATTGTTTTCAGAATGTTTTATATGCAAAGCATGAAGGTGCACTGAGGAAGCACTCTAGGTGCAGATGTGTTTACACATTCAGGTGTCTTCACTACATCTTACCTTTAACTACATAGATCCAAAGAAGGAATTACAAGGAAGCAAAACAGATCTTTAAAGAATGATAGAGACTAAATATTTTGATTGTAAATTGGCATGGATATGTGTCTAACTGATCTCCAACCAGCGTGCCTATCCTATGTGATTCACTCTAGAAGGGAGGGCTATGCGCTGAACTATTTAACATAGGAAATCCAAAGAGACTACTTCATCTTCTCTATTCAAATCCTATTTAGTCCCTAAAATCCATCTGGGATACTCTGAGTGAGTTAAAACCTAGAGTCTCAGGCATTTGAATACTTGGTCCCCCCATTGGCTGTGCTGTTTGGGGAGGGTTAGGAGATAGGGCTTTGGTGGAGGAAATATGTCAATAGGGACAAACTTTTAGAGTTTCAAATCTTGTGGCATTCCAAGTTTGCTCTCTGTTTGGTGCTTGTGGCACAAGATGTGAGCTCTCAGCTGTTCCAGCCTCCCTGTCTGCCTGCTGCTCTGTCACCCTGCCATGATGGACCATTAACCTTCTAGAATCAGTCCAACTAAACCCTTTATTCTATAAGTTGCCTTTCTTGTGGTATTTTATTATTACAGTAGTATGAGTAATGAATACATAGGTTAGAACTAGGGAGTGAGCTATTGTTGTGCCAGACATGATCGTGTTTGGTTTTGGAGGAATGTAGAAGAGTTTGGCACTTCAGACTAGAAAAGTGGTTTAATACTGCAATGGAGCCTAATGACCTTCCGAGTAGGCCCTTGGAAGACAGGAGTGATGAAAGCTATGTGGACTGTGAAGGTGCATCTCAATAGATTCTCGATGAAAACGATATTCTTGTGAGATTTTTGGCAAAATTGTGGCTGCTTTCTGCCTTTGTCTTACAAACTTGCCTGGGGCTAAATTTAAAAGCAATGGTTTAATTTATTTGTTGAAGATTTTAAGACATCCTACTATTGACTCTGCTAAATGATGATTAGTAATCGCTCTTATGCATGTCTACAGTGAAAATGAGAGAGTAAGACAAAACGGAATGCAAAATAGCTTGAAGAAATAAAGAGCACCAGGAAACTTAGTGTTGCAACCCAGGCTTGTGATAAAAGAGACAGGAAGACAAGGAGAGGCCTTATCTGCCTTGGAATAAAGGGAAGGACTGTGAAAGGAAGAGGCCTAGGAAGGAACAACAAACAAAAGCTGCTACATATGTGACTCAAGGGCTCTAGGGTTCATCCCAGGTTGGTAGCCACACTCGGCAGTGTCACCCACATGGTGCTAGATTTAGAGTAATGAAAATGTGGGAGTAAATAGGCCATAGAATCTTCCTTCAGTCTCAGAGAGCTGCTGAGGTCAGGCAGTGTGTGGCAGGAGAGTTGCTGGAAGAAGGGCCTTGAGAGGTCATTGCATGAAGCTGTGAAAATGAAGCCTGTGTTTCAGTGGAGGCACGTAGATATTTCAGACGTCAGATCCTAAGAGAGCTGCACACAGGAAGTAGAAACAGCCTGGGGTGGGAATGGAGCAGATCTTGCAGGCCCCAAAGTTGGAAGGGCAAAGCGGCCTAAGCCTTTTGACATCAAACATGGAGCTACAAGATTTGGTAATTTCCATGTTGGGTTTTTGTCTTGCTTTGGTCTATTATTTTCTCACCACATTCCCATTCCTTCCTTTTAGAATGGCAACGTATATTCTGTGCCATCATGTATTGGAATGCAATTTGCATTCTCAGTTGGCAGGGGCCATAATCTCATTGCCTTGAGTCTCAGAAGAGACACTGACTTTTTTTTCAGTTTTCTTTTTTTCTTTTATTTATTTTTTATTAGTTCAAATTAGGAACAAGCATGCTTCACATGTCAATCCCTTCTCCCCTACCCCTTCATTCCCCAGGCAGGGTAGGGCCC